TATTTTAAACTTTTCATCTGAAAATAATTAACCATCCTGTGTCGACATATTGGCTCTCATATAATCCCTCAGGACTGATGTGCAAGGCTGTCGAGTGGGTTAGTAGGCACTGTCAGTGGATGGGCTCTGGAATTCAGGCTAAAACTCTTGTTATCATTGGGTGGAGTTCAAATCCAGGTACAACCAGCAGCTGGAGCCTCTCCAACTGTCAGTCGTGTCTGAAAAACACTAAGAGACTAAATAATTTAGATTACACTATATTGACCTGTATGATTGTTTAAATGAGTAATGCAGCCACCAACTGAAAGAGGTCAACCATCTGTAGAGGAAACACCGAATTTGGTTTCATTTCCAAACAAACTTTTGAAGAGCAAATTGTTTTTTCTGTGGGAGGTAGGGGAAAGTCTGAAGACAGATTAATGGCTTTTCCCACTAAATAAAGGTTAAAGCTTCTGTCATTTACAGAACGCAACTTCAATAGAAAAGAAGTCATAAGGCATCTGGTCCAAGTGCCACATAATCAGTGTAAATGGGTACTGTTTCAGGTGGGTTCAAAAGTAAGTGGCTTAGAGAAGGCAGTATTATTTCATTATATGCCATAATCATTCACTACTTATATGTGTGAGTACATGTGTACTTGAAGGGAAAAGGCTTGGGAAAGACAATCCTGAAGTTAGAATAACCACATTTTTACAGATAACGGCAAAGTGTTTGTTTTAAATGTAACATTACCTAAACCCTTATCTCTTGAGGTATGGAGTTGCTATGAATCAGGATTTGAGATGCATACACTGTACCCCCAGTTTATTTTGAGAAAAAAAGTCCCTATTTTAACTAGATTAACACATACTGATCAAACTCTTGGTGCTCGGACAGCTCACATTGAATTAAAGGCTGCAATAATTAAGTGCCCCTACCAACTTCTTCTCCAGAGCCATTACCTTCCAACGGGTTACTTGCCAGCAGAATGGTTTAATTACTGGATCTCATCTGTGCTCCTCTATTCTCCTGTCATTGTACTTTAACAGGCTTCTCCAACCTCTTCATAGTAAACAAACCATAAAAGAAGAGACTGGCAAAGAGGAAAAAGATTAGGTTCTATGTGCCTATGAGCTAACTACAAATTTAATGCCATGAATAAAAAAAACCCAGAAAAATATCTTTGCTATGGGTCTTAACTTCCTATACACATGTGCACATGCACACTTGCACACACACACATGTGCTAGTTTCCCCTTACATTGCTTGAGGCCTGGTGTAGATGAATCTTTAGTAAACTCTTTTCCTCAAACGCTTTTGGACACATTGTCCACGCAGTTAACAAAAGTATTCTTCAATATTCATCCCTGCATCATTAGTCACCGGCTCTGCAATAATAAAATTTTTATCATAAAAATTCAATATATCGAGAAGATATTGCACTGCATATATGAAATGTTGAACTTTTTAAATGCTCCCTGGCTGTAGTAATACTAATCCAATAAATCTTCACGAATTTGGGCAATATACACATTTTGCTACTAAAGTGTCATTTTGGTTGCCACCAGTCAATAACAAATGCTAACTGGGAATCTACTATTTAAAACAAAAACATTTTCTGAGAGCCTATTGAGAGCTTGGTGCTGTGAAAAATGCAGAAATAAATAAAATGCAGGCAATACTAATAATTTACTGTAATATAATAATTGAATGGAAAAATCTATGGACTGATGATAGGCTTATTTCTACAAACTATGACCAGAACACACAGCCATAATGATACAAAGTCCCTGTACAATATTTTCATGCTCTGACTTTCATGAGTAAGCATCAGTTCCTGCTCCTTCACACACACACACACACGCCACACACACAGGAAGTGTTACACATTTCTTATCTGAGCCAAGTTAAATAAAGACGAGGAGAAGAAGTAGGACTTAGGACTTCACATGGTCTTTCTTTGTATCTTTTGTGAGTCCTGTGTACCACCAATATTTCCTTTTCCTACCTCCCCCACATCCCAAAGGTGAAGGCTACAAAGTGTGGTGATTTGTAAAATATAACCCAACTGATACATTTTGAGTAAAAGCCACTGTAAAGGATCTCTCCTTTGTGTCAAAGAAATACTAGGAAAAGATGAAAAACTGAACAGTGGCTAAGGAAAGACTAAGTTCAAGTATTTTGTTCACTTTTCCAACATAATGTACCAGTTACATTAACATAATCTTGATTTTTTGATGTCTACTCATTTACCTTTTGGTCCAAACAAAAGATGTTTATGTTATCTTTCACAATATTTATCAGAGGAAATGAAAATAGAAAAAAAATATAATTCCAGGATAGAATTCCTCAAATGTTGTGCTGTATTTAAATATTTTCTGGTCTGAAAACAAAATCATATTTTGTGTGAATACTGCTAATATAATTAGTTTATTTCAACATATATAACGTTCTTACCTCATGCCAGACATTGAACTAAATCTTGGAGATATCTCACAGGAAAACCAAAACTCTGGGGATATAAGGGTGAATAAGGAGCTTATATACTAGCTGAAATTATGAAAACTATTAAACTTTTTTAAGTGAGAAAAAGACCAAAATTTAGGAAAAATAGAGAGCTTGGGGATATAAACCATCCAGATCAGCACTGTACAATATGATAGCCATTGGCCACATGTGGAAATAGGGGGCTGTTTCAGGTTTTCAGCAGAAAATGATCTGACTTTTTTCAAAGACCGCTATAGCTTCTGTAGAACAATCCTGGTTTATGCAAGTAGCCTTGGGATAATTATTAATAGTGTCCTGTTTCACTCTCAAAAGTTTGGGGGCAAATGTATGGGCACCCCATAGTCTGACACTGTGGAGGTGCTCCAGTAAGACACTGATCTAAGTAGCTTGGGTAAGAATGAAGGGAAGTTTCAGTGAAGTAAAGCATATTATGCCCAGGGGGAAATTGCTATTTTGATTACATAATTCTATGTTTCCCTTTTCTTTCTTTTTATTGTCAATTGTGGTAAAATACACATAACATAAAAATCTTTATTTTGACCATATTTAGGCGTGCAGTTTAGTGGCATCAAGTACATTCACATTGGTGTGCAACCATCACCACCATCCATCTCCAGAACCCTTTTAATCATGTAAAACTGCAACTTGGTATCCATTAAACAATGGCTCCCCATTCCCCCTCCCACCTAAGCCTTGACAACCACTATTCTACTTTCTGTTCTATGAATCTGACTATACTATGTACTTCATATGAATGGAATCATATAGTATTATGTCTTTTCTTGTCTGGCTTGTTTCACTTAGCATAATATCCTCAAGGTTCATTTGAGTTGTAGTATGTGCCAGAATGTCCTCCCCTTTTGAAGCTAAATAATATCCCATTGTATGAATATACCACATTTTGTTTATCCATTCATCCACTGATGAACACTTGGGTTGCACCTGCCTTTTGGCTATTGTGAATAATGCTGCTATGAAAATAGGTGCACAAATATTTCTTCAAGACTCTACTTTTAATTCTTTCGGGTATATACTCAGAAATGGAATTGCTGAATCATATAGTAATTCCATTTTTAATATTTTGAGAAAACACCATACTGTTTTCCACAGAGTCTGCAGCATTTTATGTTTCCACCAGCAGTGCACAAGTGCTCTAATTTCTCCACATCATTACCAACACTAGTTATTTTCTGGAGTTTTCTGATAGTAGGCATCTCAATGGAGGTGAGATGGAATCCTGTGTTTCTTAAACTACAATCTGCATTTCCAGATTCAACATGGTATAACTTCCCAGAATGTCAAATTATTGCAAAGTGTTGGATAAAACCTATTTTTGTACTAAAATAAATAGATGTGTGTGAAACTGAATATATTCTGCACAAGAATTTCTCATAGATGTTTGTAAGATAAAAGTTTCAGCATATTTCAGTCCAAGCATGGTTTCTCCCTAGATCTCTACGGAGTGCCAGTTCATTCTTTGCTCTTATTTGAAGTGTTTGGGGAGAATAGTTTGTGAGCAGTGGGAAATCTGTTCTATTACTCTTACCAGTTAATGTCCGCTAGTATTTGAGTCCACGTTTGACCAACTGTGTGACATACCTGATACGACTTCCGGTCTGTTTACTGGCGGAAGGAAATGGCTGGCATCCTAATTGCCGCTAATTGTGAAGATTCACAGAGCATCTCAGAACTACAATTTTGCTAATCCTTCCAGCCTATTAACTCCCCTATTTTTGTTTATCAGAGTCACTAGTAAGTATAAATATGTCCTAATTTCATTATCTTTTATTGAGAAGGAGCATTGCAGAGTAGTTAAAAGAATGGCCTCTGAAAACAAACTGCCTAGAAGCTCATTTCAGCCCAGTGCTAGCTGGGTGGCTGAGTGACCTCAGGCTACCTCCTTACCCTCTCAGTGCCTTGGTCACTTCACCTTTAAGAGGTCAATACATGTGAAGCAGTTCGAGAGTGACTTCAACAAATGTTTGTTAACTTTTATTGTTATTTTAGTTTAAATTGTACTTAAACATATATATTTCAACTAAAAGAATAAATGTGTGCTTTTTTAGTTCATTTACATAATGTTCACTCTGGTCATGAATATTTGCTATACCTACGAATGGATCACTGTGTAAGTAAATGAAGATAAGCACAAAACAAATTCATATAGAAAAATCTCCAGGTTTGTTAGTCAAAGCCTTTGACTCAATTGGGAACAAAGATGAGAAAATTCCTTTCAATTGGTTTGATTTAGCATTGCTAGAAATTATCCAGATTGGGAGAACATTTCATTTGATTCACCAGCTCTAAGTTACCACCGACACAAATCAGTTGCAGTGCTTGCTTCATTTAGAAATGTGCTACCGTAGAGACACTTTATATTGCTCTATTCCACATTAATCTACAAAACCAGCCTGTAAATGCCTACTCCAGTGCGCTAGCATCTGACTAGCAAGAGGCATTTCAACCCCAAAGACACCATGATACTTCCTAATACATCCAAAAAAGGCACTTACCTTGGGCAAATCAATGGCTAAAAGAATTCAGTTCCCTGTTGACGTGAAATGGTCCACAGCTACCCATTCATTGCTATAAAAGGACCATGTGTCATTATTATCAAAATATGAACTGCAGGCATCAGAATGACTACATTTGAATTTAACTAAGAATTTATTGATCAGGTGAATATTGTTTTATATGGAGATATTCTTAGTTTTTGTTATTCAGTCTACAGTAGCCCTGAATATGCCCTTACCTGGAAATAATTTTGCCAGTGAAAAAAGTAGTTGAAGTAAAATCATTTTCCCCAAATTTAAAGATAAAAATAAAAGCTTTCAGCTTTATGCAGTTAAATGGAAGTGAAAAAAAGCTACAAGCCAAAAAAATTGCAGTAATAATGTCTTCTATGTTTACCTCTGCAGTTATCTTTACTGGTGCTCTTTATTTCTACTTGTGGATTTAAGTTACAGTCTAGTGTCCATTTATTTCTGCATAAAGGTCTCCCTTTGGTATTCTTTTAGCGCAGGTCTACTGGCAATAAATTCTCTCAGTTTTTATTTATCTTAGAATGGCTTAATTTCTCCTTTACTTTTAAGGATAGTGTTGGTGGGTATACAATTCTTGGTTGACAGTCTTTCTTTCAGCACCTTAAACAGGTCACTTCTCTTCCTTCTGGCCTGTGTAATCTCTATTGAGAAGTGACCTGTTAATCATACTGAGGATCCTTTATATGCAAAGAATCACATCTCTTTGTTTCTTTTGTGATCCATTGTTTTTGGCTTTTGATGGTTTGATTATAATGTGTCTGGATGAGCGTTCTTACTTAGAGTTCATTGAGCTCCTTGGATATGAAGATGTTTGGGGAGTTTTTGGCCAAATTTATTTTCAAGTATTCTTTTTGCTTCTTTCTTTCCTCTCCTTCTGGGACTCCCATTATGTGTATGTTGGTGAGCTCAGTGGTCTCTGAGGCTCTGTTCACTTTTCTTCCTTAATCTTTTATGTCCTTCAGATTGGATAGTATCAATTGATCTAGCTTCAAGTTCACTGACTTTTATTTCTGCTAGCTCAGATCTGCTACTGAATCCTTTAGTGAATTTTTCATTTCAGTTATTGTACTTTTTAACTCCAAAATTTCTAATAGTGTCTTTTTAACAATTTCTATATTTTTATTGATATTTCTATTTGGTGAGACACCATTCTAATACTTTTTTTAGTTTTTTAGATATAATTTCCTTTAGCTTTCTTGACATATTTTAATTTGCTAATTTAGAGTCTTTGCATAGTAAGTCCAAGATCTGGACTACTTCCAGGGCAGTTTCTATTGATTGTTGTATTCCTGTAGTGGACCGCATTTGCTTGTTTCTTCACATGTCTCACATTTTTTGTTGTTGGTTGTCGAAAAAAGATATTTAAAATAATATAATGTGACAACTCTGGAAATCAGATTTCCAACCCCAGGGTTCACTGTGGTCACTGCTGGTACTAGTTCTTCATTTAGTAACTTCTCTGAACTAATTTTAATTTTGCAAAGTCTGTATCCTTTGTTGCATGTGATCACTGAAGTCACTGCTTAGTCAACTTAGTAGTGGGCTAATGATTGGAGAGAAATTTCCTTAAATTCTTGAAAACAATGAGTTTTCCAGTCTTTGCTGAAGTTCTCTGTGTACATGTTGAGGCATCTCTTCAATGTCCGAGTGGTCAATTTACATCTTTGCTTTAGCCTTCATCTCCTGCCTTCACAGAGCCTCAGGGTCAGAAAGCTATGAGTGCTTAGGGCCTTCTCAGGTCTTTCCTGGGTCTTCACACAGTCCTGGGCATGTGTACAGCTCTATGCTTGCCTGGCCTTCTAGATTCCCAGGAATATGCAGGAGCTTTTCAAAGTCCCCTATGGACTTCTCATTCCCTAGGATATTTAGGGTCAGCTTCTGGTTTGCTCCAACTGTTATTGCTGCCTTAGGCAGAGGTGATGTTGAACAATTGCAACTGATAGTTTTCTCTCAGAGAAAAAAGCTGTATTCATTGAGAGATCTGAGTTGAGTTAAGTAAACGCATGCCCTGCAAATGGAAATTTCCAGAGAACTAGTAAGTCAACTGATGATAGTTCTCTGAGAATGGGGCTTTTAAAAAGCTCCAACCCATTGTGACCCTTCCCATGGATGCTAAACTGCTTATTTTCATTGTGATTGTGGAGCTGTTGGTTTGCAAGTGTACTCCAGAGCTGGGGAGTAGGTGGTGGAATTAGGGGATGTAAAATACCACAAACCCTGCTGTTCTTAGTGAGATTCAACCATTTTTCTTGAATAAATGCTCTTTGAATGATTGCAGATTTGGGGTATTTTCCAGAGTTCCGCAAAAGTTACTTTGACCATTATGCAAATATTCTCATTCCTTTACATAGGAATAAATTTTTGAAATTGCTTGTTCTGCTGTTCCTGCTGACATTCAGCTAAAGACCTTGATATTTAAACACCAAACTATTTATCACCTTTAAAGAAAATTTCAGTAGATGATTTGGAATGTTTACCTCTTTAATTCCTCTTAATCTAAGTCAAGTAATAGTCATTGAAGCCCTTTGGGTCTTAGGGCCTCTAAGCAGCTTTCCAATATGATCTAGGTCGAGTGGACTAACTCAATTTAAAGACAGATAAAACTGTAATTATTAATAATCCATGACTAATAAAGAGTCAATTTTGATCCAGAGAAATAGTGACCTTTTGTTTTATTATTAACATTAGCATTGGTCACTATAGGGGTTGCAGCTGGTGACTTCAGGGAGATTACTCCAGGTAAATTAAAAATATAACAGAGACAGCGTTTCTTCGTTAATTATTGTGACCCTGAGTTTGGGGGGCAGTTCAGTCCAGAGAGAAGAAAGAGAAAGACCTGTTGTCATCGGGATTCTCCAGTAGATATGCTAGGAGATTTGCTGAGAGCTCTGTGTTCAACAGTATTGCGTCTTTTCTCCCCTAAACCATGTTTACAATGAAATATATTCCCATGTTATGAGATGTTTTAAGCAGCACTGTAGAATTGTCATAGTACAGGCTAAATTATCCTTTGCCTGTGTCTTCAAAACTTTACATTTTGTAAGTTCTTGCCTTATTATTGCTAACTCATAACATTTCTGATATTAATTCTACTAAAACTTAAATTTGTGTTGCCAATATGAAACAATCCAACTGAATACATCAATTTATTTAATTTCCTAGAAATGGATTTGACTACTAACTTTTGCTACTTTAGCTGGTGATTTTGGCATAATTCAAAGTCAAACATTTCAAAGGTATACAGTGGTAGCACCCTCATGGCTGAAGTAGATGACTTAACATTTCAGGGTAAAATGACTTATCTGAACACCATGCCCTTTGATGTGTGACTGTAAGTTTTCATTAAAATTCACATTCAGGAATTTGAGTCGCTCACAAGCTGCTTCTTAAAGGAAAAGACCAGCCCTGAGGGTTGGCATCTTTCAACTTACCTCTGTGCATGAGGGAACTCCTCTCTATAAACAGAATTCAGTCTGACTTCCCAAAGGTGTAACGGCAGGTGAAACTCACAGCCATTCATCTGAGACAACAGAAGTGTTCGGTTAGATGGTGCTAATTATGTGTTATATATATATATATATATATGCGTAATTAATCCTTGCCTAAGCCCTGTGGGCCTCCCTATTGTTAATCCCATTTTATAGAAGAAGAAACTAAGGCACGAAGGTCCTGCAACTGAAAAAAAAAAAAGAGTGAATTTTTGCATTTGGACCTTAATATTTTGTTTCTAAAACTGCCCTTGATACTGCTACATTACACATCTGAGAGATAAACATGCTTATCCCTAAAACAGAGCCTATTTTCAAAATGTGTTTTATTAGTAACGTAATTCTCAGTAGAGAGGACACAGTTCCATACCCAGTTTCCATTCAAAAGCTCAAAGGAGTAGTACAAACCCAAAGAAACGAGAATATTTAAAGGAATGTATGGATCATTTGTCTCATAGACTGAGAACTACCTTGTAGCAAATTAAATCAGAAAGCAGTAAACTTAGACCACATTATCTAAACCTCCCACCATAATAGATTTACCAAGTAAATAACTTATAAATTATTTATTGAAAATACAAATTAGAAATTATTACAAGTAATTTACAAATTACTAAGATTTTGGTGTTATGTCCTTGATTTTTCCAAAGAGTCTCTATAGGAAAAACTGTATGTAACTATCATTGGAAATATCTTCTATATATTTTATTCAATGTCCCTTATAATTTTTTTAGAACTTAGTAACAACCAATGTCTTCCTTTGAAGAAGCAATCTATATCTTTTGCAAGATAATAAGAGTTATGAAATCCACCCTTGTTATCGGCTGCCAGGAATCTCTGAGCTAAGTGTAGGACTAATCATGGTTAATGTATTTGCTCTCATAATAGTATAATTTCTACCTTTAGAAAAATCTCTTTCTCTATTCTAAAAGCAGTCTTATATACACATTTTAAAATAAGTTTCTCTAAACCCATTCTAGAAGCAAGCAGGTAATTCTTTTTAATATCTTACTGAGAAGATGTCTTTCTCAAAATTAAGTTTAAAACAACTGTTAGCTTTTGTTTCTCTGTGAGCTAATGATGAAGCTCTTCAAAAACTGCAAACACTAATTCATAGAGGAACATCGTGATCACTGAAAAATCTCAGTTAATATCACCATTTCAACAAAACTAGAGGAAGTGGAACTGATGAATTCTAGACTTATTACTTCTGCAAATCACTCCCCCTCCTCAGCCACAAAAAGGAAGAAGTAACTATGGTCTACTCTTCACATTAATCCTCTACTGGCCCTCAGATAATGTTCTGCCACACAGCTTGAGATTTGCGTGCTTCACTGGCCAGCAGATCTGATGCCAGAACAGCACCAGAAATGCCTCACCCTATCTGATGGCACGGAGATTGTCCTGTCCCATAAACTAAGTCAAAAACGTGTAGGCCATGGCTCATCTTAGAAAATGGTGACTCCCATTTCTCTTTGTGTATTTATATGGGTGTATTAAAGGACAGGGATAGAAACTATCTTCAGTTTGTCTTCTGGAAAATAAACGAGAATTTCATTAACTTAAATTCTTTGTACTTCTTGTTCTTGTTGTACTTGTTCCTGGTTTTAAGAAAATACTCGCACTGGTGTCATACAGGCATGCTATCTCAATTTCTTCAATTTCTAGGCCAGATCCTCTTAATGTTGATTGCTTTCTTGCCTTCCTCACTCCCTTTTACCCACCTCAGATAGGATTTTCATGATTTCCTCTATACTATCATAATACTTTGCTTTTAGCTCTAGGTGTGATCAAATCCATCTTCCCATCTAGGATTCTAGATTTCTTTATGGCCAAACTGTGTATCTTTGTACCCTTCTGGAATCTGATTCTAAGCCTGGTATAGAGCAGTTCTTCAGTAAATACAGATAGCTGTTGTTGGATTAGGACTACTGACAGAAGGATGTGGGGGAGTAGATTATGCGACATAATTTTCCCTTACTAAATATAAATGGCGAGGCTAGCCTCATCCTTAAAGTAGGAAATAAGGTACTAGCGGTCATGTGGCATAACAATTAAGAGTGTCAGCTCTAGAGCTAGACTGTCTGGGTCCATAATCCTGGCAAATTATTCACCTGTTCTCAATATCCTCATCTGTAAAAGGGGATAGTAATTGGCCATACCTCATAGGGTGTCAAGACCATACATTAGCTAATACGTGCACAGTACTTAGTGCTCCCACTAATTAAACTTCAGCAATGCAAATAAATAAGAAACACAAAAACTCTGACTGGGCAATCAAGAAAGTCATGATTAAAAGAGTAAGTAATTTGTAAGTTAGAGTTTGATATCTAGAATCTCATTAGTACTTTATAGATCAACGAGCTGTTGTGATACATCAACATGGATTTTATAACTTTTCGGAAAACACTTAAGTTATGAGACATCACCAGTACTGAAAAAATCTTGTCTAATAATTTTGTGAGAAAAATTATTCTTATTTCACTCATTATACAACTTTGGAAAATATTGTTTCATAACTAGTGTAGAAAAAAATAACTTTTACATGAGTTTTTTTTCTCTCCTGTAAGATTTACCCTAGAACACTTTTTAGAAAACTTTTATTTTTATAATTTGAACAGAAATTTAGATTCTGGGGTAATCAACTGTCTTAATAACAAATCACTGAGCCTTCGGATTCTAGGGTTGAATAACATATTCGTCTCTCTTTTGTAAAATAAAATGAAATACACATTTATGAAATGACACTGCTAATAAGGAGTCACTGCACACATAATTGGCACTCATTCACTCAACTGCCTATTACATGTTCTGAAAATGCCCATAAACGTCTTAGTAGATGTTTTAGAAGCTGTAATCAATAAAGCTGTACTCTGTGTCAAGACCAGTCATAACTTAAAATTCCAGCATCTAACTCTCTGTCTTCATGTCTGTATTCGGATCTTCATATTTTCAAGTTTAAAGTAAACCTAAATCAAAAAATTTTAAATAGAGAACAAATAAGCAAATATTTATTTGCAAAATTCCTTCTCCAAAATATTCCTTTGATTTGTCTTTACAAACTCTGTACTTAATCACCCACCCTTTTCTGATTAACTAAATATTAGTCATTTTGTGTTTTAGATTTTTTAATATAGTCTTTGTAAAGTAAAAATAATTGTCTGTTATCATGAAAAAAGAATTTGTAAATTTACTTTCTCCCATACTTACTCATCCTAAGGATAGAAGAAGTCAATATAAATCTTGGTAGTGGAAACACAAGTTATCATTTTATGATCTCTATACTAATGTGTTTTTTAAAAATATTCAAGATATGCCAAGATATGGAAGCAACCTAAGTGCCTCACCAATGGTTGAATAGATAAAGAAGTGGTGTATATATGTATAAGTGTATGTATGTATACATATATACATACACATAGTGGAATATTACTCAGCCATAAAAAGAATAATATCTTGCCATTTGCGATAACACAGATGGATTGAGAGGGTATTATGCTAAGTAAAATAAGTCAGACAGAAAAAGACAAATATTGTATGATTTCATTTATATGTGGAATCTAAAAAAACAAACAAATAGGGAAACATAACAAAACAGAACAGAGTTATAGATACAGAGAACAAACAGGTGGTTACCAGAAGGGGGATGGCATAGGGAAGAAAAAGATGAGGGAGATTAAGAGGTACAAATTTCCAGATGCAAAATAAATGAATCAGGTATTAAATGCACATTGTGGGGAAGACAGTCAATAACTAGGTAGTATCTTTGTGTGGTGACATATCCTAACTAAACTTACCATGATGATCATTTTGAAATGTGCAGAAATATTGAATCGCTCTATTGTGTAACAGGAACTAACAGAGTGTTGTAGGTCAATTAAACTTCAAAAACAAACTCACAGAAAAAGAGAGCAGATTTGTGGTTACCAGAGGTGCAGGGGATGGGAGGAGGAGGAAATGGATGAAGGCAGTCAAAAGGTAAAAAAATATATATATATATTCAAAACCTATACATACATTCATAATCTAAAATTTTTAACTCTGGGGGAAAGCCAATTTACTACCGTAATTAAGAAATTCTTAAACCTAATAAACTATACAACATATTAATTCTCACACAATTAAACATTATGAGGTTTTCTATTTAATCAATGTCACTATCATTCGTTATATCTGTTCATTAAACATGAAAATGATCAGAAAGGGAAATAACTTCATAACAATTTAAAAACTCATATCCATGATAGATTTTTCTTTTACTATTTTATTTCATTCCAGGGAGTTTAAGCCTTGACCTTCACAATGTTCCACCTTATGATATTTCTACAGAAACTTCAGTCAGATATTATCTAATAGAGCTTAAGTCACTGTCCCAACAGTCAAATCTGCATTTGAAATTTAGGATGTATGTTACACATGGGCAGTAGATCTTCCCATATTTAAAAAAATAATAGTAAAGTTGTGATTTCTCTTAGTGATTGTGGAGGATGCTACCTGGTGAGCTGGTGTGGAATTAATGACAGGCTCTCCCAGTGTGCATTTTGTAAAGATTTTAAAGGTCTAGAGGAATATCAGATAGCAAGGGAATTTTACAGATTGATTTTGGAAGTTATTGAAATTAACAACAGATAGACAGTTTTCTTTTAAAATCTTTTTGATAGCTGGATGCCATTGGATGAAAAATATCAAACACAAAAGGAAGTTTGTATTTCATACTAATATGAGAGATTAAAAAACAGATGATACTGAGTTCTAAAATAGCTAATTTAGCCTTATAAAATGTGAAGTGGACAGGCTTGATTAGTGGATTGATTAAATTATTTAAATCTTTAGTTCTTTCCCACAAATATGTTAAAATTGTAAAAGAAAGGCTGGAGACAATAAGCTAGACATGTTTGAAGAGATTGACAATTTAAATGTGAATAAGGGTCTATCATTGAATAACAAGGCTAATGACAGTAAGAAATACAACTCAAAATGCCAGGATTTGAGATTTCTAAAGAATATGCCATAGAGATATGTATGATTGTGAACAAATACACCTGTG